ACCTGTTGGATCATAAAAAATAGTCACAGAATGAGACCTCAAGTCCTATATAAATTCAAGACCTCAACCAAATGTTCACTCAGGCCCAAACGATGACTACACTTTGAAAGTCTCCAAAAAAAAAAAAAAAAAAAAAAAAAAATAACATCATCTCCAAATATAATGAAGTTAAGATCTCACAAATTAGTCATCCTCTCAATTATAAACAAGTTGATCAGACAAGATAAATTTTCTTACAGCTGGTGTTGCTGTTGTTTTTGTAAGAGGAAAGAGCTGAGTCCCTGCACCTCCTCCCAGTATGATCGCAGCTACATTTTTCGGGTCTGCTCTCCGTCTCTCAAACATCGGAGTTGGAAGTGATAAGGTCTGAAATCATATTACAGAATTAAAATGAGACTACATATTAAACAATCACAAAATCAACCTATCATTTAGCATCATGATCATATATAAATTTAGCATGAAGAAGTACAAAAATAAATAAATAAACATAATGGATTAATCAATCTCCGAAATGGTAAATACAATGTTGAATGAATTCCCACTTACCATAACCTCTTTGGGATTGTTAGACGTAATCACAGCATAAGCAACACCAGGTTTGACCTTCTTGTCTCTCTTCTCAGCTTTCAAGCCTTTTGCCAAATGATTAAACCCACCACTGTTGTTTAAGCTACCTCTGATCCTCTCTCCCCAGAACGCATTATCTCCATTCTTGAAACCTTGTTTGGTAGCTTTTGCCACATGGGTATTGGCTGTCAAACCCACACAACAAGAATCCATTGCAGCTTTTCCTCTGCTAGAACTACAATCCAGGAAAAAAAAAATATATATATAGTGAACCAAGATTATGATGATTATCAAAATGACAGAGTCAATTAAGTACTTAACCCGAATCCCAATAAAGTAAAGCTATAATCTAAGTGCAATCTAAGTGCAATCTAAGTGTAATCTAAGTAACAAAGTAAAGTACAGATCACATAAAGATATTACAAAGAATTGTAAATGACAGTTGTATTTGTATCATACATTAACTAAAGAATACAGTAACGACTAAAATCTATGCGACCTCAAAAAGGAAAGTTTGATAACAGAACTGAAACAACCCAGGTCAGGTTAATTACACAGAAACAAGATCCTCAAGTAGCCCAGCAGTTCAAGAACAACAATGTAAGCATGAAAGTAAAAAACTGAAGTGTAAGACTTAAGTACACACCAAAAGGTAAAGTGTTAAACCAACAAAACTCCAGGAACTTGGAGAAATGATCGGTTAAGAAAGGTTAAAGATGGTTGAAAATGGAAGTGAATTGCGTGAATTGATGTTGAAGGGGGCGGTTAGCTTTATTGGCTTGTGAGCATTTCACGAGAAATCCTGCAAACTTGGTATTTATATAAAATTATGTAAATGTTACTACAAAAATACAATAATTGTAGTATTAAAAAAATGTCAATATCTCTGCAAAGGACTCAATGATCTGTGTCACCGTGTACACTTCATACAGTAGTGCAAGTTTCTAGGCCCCCTCTAGGATATGGAGAAAGCCATTATAAGCCAAACTCACCTGTCCATTTCAAGCCAGAGTTTGCAGTACAATAATAATTTTTTATTACCTGAAAATTGTCGATTTTTTATTAGTTTTATCAGCAAAGCTATCCCTTTCAAGCATGCTAATCACCATTTTGGCAATTTTTCATCCTTTGACATGTTGCCAATTTGCTGATATGATTAGAGCAATTTTCAACCATGTCAAGATTATGATTCATGACATTTTTTTAAACACCGTATAATTGATCTCGGAAAATAGAAATCCTACATCATGTATTTAACTATTGATTCAGTGTTGATTTTTTATCAATATACTGTGCATGGTAAAATTCTTGTGATGGTGAAGGGAATATTGACAGATATGTAGACCCAGTTGCACACTTGATCTTATGCAAATTTTAATTTGTTTGTAGTCAGATTTTGGCAGAAATCATTCCAACGGTCCCAGAACAAGCCTCCCCAAAAATGGAAAGGCAGTGGAATCGTTGTACTATCATTGCTGGTTGAAGAATCTAAGCCAAATATAATTTTACGAGGGACAGAGCTTGAAAATATCCGTCCCCACTGAAATGGACAGGACACTGTAACACCTAGAAAAGAGGGTTATTGAGTAAAAGTTGAACAGAGTTATATAAAAAGATGAACCCACTTTCCTATCAACTGTTTTGAACTTCTCACCATAATTTAGTTTGATGTATCAAGATGACCAAATTGGCATGTTCAAACAAGTAGATACTTCAATCACGGAGTGTACTGCTTGACATCAAGATTTGGACAGAAACCATCATTCAATGACACCAAACCCCATGGACGGTTGTTATTAGATTTTGCAGAAGCACTTGGCCCACCTCCCCTTCTCCCCTATCACAATCCACAACTATATTTATCATTTGTTTCTTTGTATTTGATTTGGTATAACACTGAAAGATGTCGATTGAAAGATAATATTGAAGAAAGTGATTGCTGAACAAGTTGTTTCATAAATTATATATAAGCTTAAACAAATCTGGGAAATATCCAGCTACTTTAATCCTGTTCTTTGACTGAGATGTTGAGGAGGTGGCCCTTTTGATTATTCAAGTGCACCAGCGCTTTCTCTGCCGCACATGTGTTTGTTAACGTATGGAGTATGGACCTTAGTTGTTAATGTAGTTTTGATCTCATAATTTCAATTAATTTAGTGATCATGGTGAGAATGAAAGTTTTTCAAAGTGCAATGACCATTTCCATGAATTTTACAGCGAAAAATACTTATGTATAGACCAATTCATTGAAATTCTAACTGATTGTTCCTGATATTTTTATGTTGTGGATTGATAAAAACAATCTCATAATTATCTCTGGGTAATCGAATAGTTTAATAAAGACTTTTAGATGTATTACTTAAGAGGTCTTCAGTTTGAGTCTCTCATCGGTTGTTAATAAGGATAACCGTTAGAATTTTTATCCGATTAGTAATTTCGGGATCCCAAAAGATTTCTCGGCCGATAATTCCAAGATTCTTAGGGATTAATTAAGATGCCGGACTAGAGTCTCATCAAGGCAGAAAAATTGCATGTGGCATCCGATCTATAAACCCTATAAAACAATCAAACATTGACTAGAAACCGTATATTATGTGACAAAATTTCACGTGGTTCTTCCGCCGGAGATTTCTTGGGTCTGATAAGACTTACCCCTTTTTTTTACGACAGCGTTGTAAATTGCTTGACATGTCTATTTTCATGTCACAGTCAAATTGATTGGGTTAAACACTTAACACTACAATGATTTTGAGTGGAATGTGTGCGATCTAAGACTGACAGCTCTCAAGAGATAGGCCCAGCCTTTCATTTCGGAAAAAGACATTCCCAATCTCGTTCTTATGTCTTGTCGGTTGAATGTTAAGATATTCAAGGCCGTTTGTTTTACTACTTCAATCCCTATTCTCTATTATATTCTCAAAATAGTAATGGTATACTTACAAATTATTTGTAACTCTATCATATTCTCAAAATAGTAATGATATACTTATAAATTATTTTTACAAAGATCTTCATACAAAGTAATGTAATAAAAAATGAATAAAAGAGTAAATTTAATGAGTTTGACCTTTTGTTTCACTATTCCATTTATTTTTTACCACTTCACTTTGTATACAAATTTTTGTAAGAATTTTTTGAAAATATATTATTATTGTTCCCAAAATATTCATTTTTGACCACTTCACTTTGTATACAAATCTTTGTAAAATTTCTTTATAAATATATTATTATTATTCCCAAAATACTTATTTTTAGTCCCCTTAAGTTTATTAATTTAATTAAACACCTATAAAAAAAAAAGGTTTAAAAATTAACAAAAGGACTTCCACTCACCTATAGTTGCCAGATTCTGACAACAACCATCGGTAGTTATCGGAATCTGTCACAACAGCGTAAAAACGACCAAAACTGATTGGTATTTCACCGATTTGACATTTTCTAGTCAGATCCACAATAAATCTGACCGAAAAAGGCCAATTTTGGTCGACGACCACAGAAATAGATGTCGTTGACGGTCAATGACGACCATATCTTGGCCTTTTGTGGTCGTTGACAACCAAATCAAACATTTTCCGACCAGATCCACCACAGATCTGGCAAAAAAAAGCCATATCGACGCACGATCGCCCATATCCGACCGATCTACATCCTAATATCATTTTCCAACCAAATTTCAACAGTATTGACCGAAATCTGACACTGTGGATAGATAGAGGTGTTTTTGTCATTTTATAAAATTTTTATATATTGAGATATTTTATTAAATTAGCAAACCTAGGGTTTTTTTTGTTAAATTTTAAATTTTACCTCATAATACTCACCCTATTCAACTACCCAATATTATTCCCAAAATCTAATCCAAAATAACAAAACAAACACACCCTTAAATGGTGATTTAGAACTGGTGCGCTGCGCACTCATGAAGCTCAAAAGGAAACAAATTTCAGCAAGATGCTATATGGTTGGTGTCGGTAATGGCCTGCAACATGGAAGGTTTTCACAGAATCCATAGTTTATTGAGCATGGAAACATTTGGTCCACATACAATTCTACTTACCTTAAAAAGAGCCAGAGATAAGACATTACCAGAGAAAAAAAATTGATCAAAGTAACTCCAAAAGGTTGCCAACAATTTTTAGCTTCTTTGTAAGTCGCAATTCCAATATTTCTGAAGATGGTGTTCATCACTTTGATCCCATGAATTGTCTTCTGCAACAATTCCTTGGATTGATAACAAAATTTGTACTACTATATATATTTCAGGGGTCCTCAAAAGAAATGGGTTCATGAAGCTACGAGGCAACAGATTGACAGATCATTTACACGACTCAACCTATTAGCTTTCTAGAAAATTTTCTTTCCTAAACATCCACATAATTGATATAGAATGAACAAATATGGAATAGCTCATAAGGGACTAACAAGAAACATCTTCAAAAAGTCTAAACGAATACCATTAAAGAAAAACATACTTAAGGTCTAAAATTGTAGTTCATAAACTCTTAACAAGATAGGAGGAAACAAAAATAGTAACTGTCAAACCCAAGAACCACTACATAAAAACTAATAAGCAAATATAACAAGATTAGGTGTTCGTTGCCCTGGTGTAAATCTGCTGGCTTGCATGGGCAGACACCATCCTGATCGAACCTCTTGCCATAAGCTCTCTTATTGCCCTCCTTGCAAGTGATCCACTGATCTGCATGACACCGGGGCAACAAATAAGAGAAATTTACACAGTACTCAAATCCAAGAATTGACATGTGTGCCTCTGTAATACCCAGGGGACAGTCAACTAATCACTGCAGACTAAACTACTAACCTAATAGTACAGAGAAAGCACTCCAGTATGTCTAAACAACGGCTTATGGCCCCATGAAAGCCCGCTATCAAATGCAAAACTCATCAACATTTTTGGATTTCTTCTACAATGAACTGAAATGGTCTGGTAATGTTACCGAAACAATATTTTGGTACCATGTCCAGAGATTTCTGGTAACCATGCTTTAGTATAGTTACATATATTGATAACTCATGAATCGTTTACGGTTAAACTAAAACAATTTAACATATAAACACAACATGCTCAAAGCCAAAACGTCTGTTCCGTAACATTACCAAAAACAATACCATATCAAACCCCATGCATCTAAAGTTAACAGGCCGTTATAAGTATTAGTGCAGGCATAACCCTACTTCAGTGCTTTCATTACTTGAACAAGAATTTGCCAACAGAGAAGCGCCAACACTAGTCTAATTCTCAATTCTCAATTCCAAAGATAAAGCAAATTTCATAAAAAATTGATGGCGCATAACATATGAAACTCACCCTTAAACGATCAGAGAGAATGGAAGGAGTGATGAGCTTGTACTTGGGAGCCTCAGAAAGAAGCTTATCATAAGTAGCTTGATCAAACAACACCATGTTGTTCACCTTCTCCTTTTGCTTTCCCTTGCTCCACTTCTGTTTTCACATTCAATTAAAACCACACAATTCAATCAGAAACAACACCAATTTCACATCGTAAATCAAATCAACACATCATATGCTCGATTGGGTTACGAGTTTTGACCTTCTTCTTCTGCTTTCCGCCTCCGGATTTCGCGGGCCTAGACGATGGTGGGGGAGCCTTGTCCTTCTTTGGAGCCTGCAATATAAACCAAAACAAACAGAATAATTAACCGATCCATCAATCGAATAAATGGGTACTTCTATTTTGGTAGAGTATTGAAAATCTAGAGGCGTACCATTGGATCTGTTCACAGAGAGATGAGCTGCGGTGTCGTGCTGCTCGTGCAGAAGTAAAGATGAGAAAGAGAGAAGCGAGGCGGGGGAGGCAGAGAGTGTTATCTAACCCTAGGGTTTAGTAAAGAACGGTTTTGTATAAGATTCCACGGCGTCGTTTCCACTGGATTTGACTTGCTAACTATTGGGCTGCTACTGTAAAGCCCACAGTAAAAGCCCAATCTAAAGAGTTGAACTTTTGGCCCATTTATAATTTTTCGGAAATTTAGCTCAGGATTGGGATTTTGGAACATGTAATTAATAATTATAATTCTTTTTTATATTAAATATGAAACAAATTGGGTATAATTTGAAAATGTAAAAATCCATTTGTAACACTCAAATATTTTCTTTTTAATTAGCTTGGTGTATTAATTGGTTTCTTTTTAACACTCAAGTACGAAAACCAGGTATTATATTTTAATTATAAGCAAAGATGGCCTCTAGACTTGCTTGTGGGTAGTCCAATTGGTTAGAGCGAATGAGGATAATATGATAAGGACATTCCCAATCTCGTTCTTATGTCTTGTCGGTTGAATGTCAAGACACTCAAGGCCGTTTGTTTTATTATTTTAATCTTTATTCCCTATCATATTTTCAAAAGGGTAAAATTACACTTACAAAAAATTTTACGAAAATCTCCATGTAAAATGAGGTGGCAAAAATTGAAATTGAATAAAAGAGTGAAATTTTATATACAAATCTTTATAAGATTTCTTTATAAATATATTATTATTATTCCCAAAATACTTTACTTTTAGTCCCTTTAAGTTTATTAATTTAATTAAACACTCCTAAAAAAAGTTTAAAAATTAACAAAAACACTTCCACTCACTTATAGTTGCCAGATTCCAACAACAACCGTCGATAGTTATCAAAATCTGTCATAACAGCGTAAAAAAGACCAAAACTGATCGGTATTTCGTCGATTTGGCCTTTTCTGGTCAGATTCACAATGGATCTGGTTGAAAAAGGCCAGATCTGGTGGTCATCGACAACCAAAGAAATAACCGTCGTTGACAATCAACGACGACCATATCTTGGCCTTTTATGGTTGTTGACAACCAAATCAAACCTTTTCCGACCAAATCCATTATAGATCTGACAAAAAAAGACCATATCGACGCACGATCACCCATATCCGACCGATCTACATCCTAACACCATTTTTCGACCAAATTCCGACAGTGTTGACCAGAATCTGACATTGTGAATAGGTAAGAGTGTTTTTATCATTTTACAAAATTTTTATATATTGAAGTGTTTAATTAAATTAACAAACTTGGGATTTTTTTGTTAATTTTTAAATTTTACCTCGTAATACTCACCCTATTCAATTACCCAATATTATTCCCAAAATCTTATCCAAAATAACAAAACAAAGGCACCCTTAAATGGTGATTTAGAATTGGTGTGCTGCGCACTCATGAAGCTCAAAAGGAAACAAACTTCAGCAAGATGCTATATGGTTGGTGTCGGNCAATTTTCCTAATATGTTTCTATGTAAGATAGTTTTTCAATAGAAAAATAATCGTACTATAAATTAAAATAAAAATCCTATTATGATCAGAAATTTAAATCTTATTAAGAATAGTATGTTATGTATTACTTATAAAAAGAGATCCAATCCTAAATTTAGATAATTGAATACAATAGAATACGAGATTATGATTAGAGAGTCAGAGTTTGTGAGGCCGATAAGATACTTTTGTAAAGGTGTGTGATTGATTATTTGTCATTTGTTCACTTCATTTTTCGTTTTGATAGAGATTTAAAATTTGTTTACAGAAACAGAAGCAGCCAGCTGAGCTGGTTAATTTATTTAGTATGAAACTTGCAAAACATTGAAGATATTAATATTGAAGTTAATTCATTTGCATTTGACGTAGCAGAAGCAAGCCCATCCTACATCATCTGCATGGCAAGATCCAGCTACGGCTTTCTCCTTCTTCTTGCAGTGTTTGTTACAATTGCTGATGCTGAAGCACGGCCCTCTCCACGATTTACTATACCTCTTACAGATTTTTGCTTCTGCGTCTGGCATCATTTCTGCAATATCCCATTTCAAAACAACAATATTATAACTCTAGTTAACATCATGTATATATGCTGCAGTCTAGCTAGAAATGTAACTTACCCAAGTTTACAATGAGGATGATGATGAAGAAGACGGCGAAAAACTGAACTTATTTAAGAGTGTTAGCCATGTTCTAAGTTTCTCCTGGTTGTGCTAACTGGTGAGGTGATTAGGGCTGTTAGAATTTAAGGTGAGCCTGACTTCTCACCCAATAAAGTCTTGTTGAATGGGAGGATTATCCCCTCTTATAACCCAATAGGCTTGAGCGTGCCTAATCGATGTGGGACTCCAACACTCCCCCTCACGGTCAAGCCCATATGTTGGGTCATGCTTGTTATTGGAGATAGTTGCTCTAACTCTTCACCCGCTGGTCAAGCGCTCAGCTCAATTAAACATGGGCTCTGATACCATGTTAGAATTTGAGGTGGGCCTGACTCTTCATCCAATAAGGTCTTGTTAAATGAGAGGATTACCCCCTCTTATAACCCAATAGGTTTGAGCGTGCCTAGTCGATGTGGGACTCCAACAAGGGTTATTTATAGAAGAAGTTGCTTAATTAGTTCTTGTTCAAGTTTGTACGCTAGCTGGAAAAAATTGGTTGACTAAAATTATTTAATGTGTTGATAGACATGAAATTCTTCAATAGTTATTAAGTTAAGAAGTAAAAAATTCAAAGAATCTTTTGATATTTAATAATTCAAGGTGCATGATTTAAGGACTCAAAATTCAAAAAATCTTTTGATATTTAATAATTCAAGATGCATGATTTAAGGACTCTTTGACATTTTAGGATCTGCAGGAGCAGAGATAAGAACATTCATCATGTTCACATTGTGTAAACTAGGGTGAGCATGGGTGAAGGGTAGAAACAGAACCAGAATCGGAATCCGAATCGGCCCGATTAGGGTTCGATTTCGGTTATGGAAAATTGAAACCTAGAATTCTTGAGTCTAGTTCCAATTCCTATAGTGCCAGAACTGGAACTGAGGTTTGGGTACTAAGACTAAATATAATTTTTGTAAGCTATTAAGGGTGTAATTATAATTTTTGGGGGTGTATTTGTCATTTTCAAAAAAGTAGGAGGGTACTTAAAATTTACCTGGGTACTCGGAACCAGAACCCATGTGAAATGTTCCAGTTCCATAAAAAAATGTAGGGTATCTCGAACCAATCACCCCTACGTAAACTCAGGGAGATGAACCCAATTGTTAGGCAACAGTCAATAGATTAAGTACTAGTCAAGAAGAGATCAGTGTTAATCAAAGGATGCTGATTTCAGTAATGGAATTTGCTTCAGTAACAATTAATATTGAGCCAGAGACCATGATCCAATTCAAACCCTTGACAATGGTGTAAAGTAGTTAGATCCATGCTTTCTAATTTCTGCATTATCCAGTCAAACTGAGCTAGAACTTTCTTTTGTTGAAATCTGGACATTTAAAGATTATCCATAAACGAACTTTATGACCCTTCCTCTGCTCCCACTGTCTTGTGAAAAAATAGTAAAATACATTACATTCTGCAATATATCCAAATTGATATGCATATTCATGATCAATATATATAGCCGTAGGGTTCACTTATGATAACGGTGAACAATTAGAATTAATGCATCTGCTTTTCTTAAAGCATATCAGATGTTAGCTACGGCGATGAATTAATAATAGCAACAAGAAATCTCAACCTAGTCACCAATGGATGGCTAGATGGTGAGTTCGAGTTCTTCTAGACACTAATAGGGGTGATCACTAGAAGATTACCTGATCGGACTTTCAGGCCATAAATGATTAGTTTAGATGCGTGTAAACTAATCCAGACACTCCGTCATAAAAAAAAAAAAAAGACATCTCACCTTGATCTAAATACTAGGTGTCAATTGCGAAAGGAAAATTGTCTTCAAGACTCCTCCGCACTAACAACTTTCACTAATTAATTAAGTTCTATTAGGGCATGCCTAAAATATGATAAATTTACCTTTTCCCTTGTGACCAGATGACAAACCCTTTAGTCATTAGGGTTAACTATACCCAGCAATTATCGGGATTACCCAAAAGATATAAGTTTATCTGCATGTGAACATTATTAATCACTAGGGTTAACTATACCCAAGAGTATTATGTTCGAGTCGCGGGAGAGACACCTATTACATTTATGCAATTATTTTGGTCATTGGGTGACTATACATTGTTGGGTAGGGTTCTGCATCAAAACTAGTTAATTATCAGCTTAAAGATATGTAAATGCTGATATCCTTTTGAGATCAAATTTGTTATCATCCATCAACAAAATCACTTATTCATCGGACAAAACGAGTTACAACTAGCAAGCATGATTAATAATACTTCATATATATATATAAATTTCAACCATAAAACCTTGACAAAGAGAACTTGATGAAGAACAATCAGCAACTTCACGGCACAAGAAGAAGTTTCAAGAGAAACAATTTTATTAGCTGCCACTAGCAACTGGCCATATTTAGCCAGCTAACTAGTTTTATTGTAACAAGAAACACAACATAGAACACACAATTTCAGAACACGAAATGGGGCAAAAATCCGATCGGGTTTCATTTGCAATTGAAATAGCAGAAGCATTTCCATCCACCTTTGTTATGACAAGCTCCATGCCTAGCATCCTCCCACGTCTTGCATTGTTTATCACAATGGCTTGTGTTCTTGCATTTCCCCGACCATGTTTGGCTCGCTTTCTCGCAAATTTTTGCTTCCACTTCCGTCATCTCTGCATCCATTAATCAAACAACATAAGAAAAAAAATTATCCAACCATGTATGCAAGCAACTTAAATTAAGATACTGATTTTCTAAGATCAATTTTGTAAGTAAAAATTGTACAGGGCCTCCAAAACAACTGACCCCAGTTTGCAACGAGGATGAGGATGAAGAAGAGTGCAAAAAACTGGACAGACTTGGCCATGCTTTAGCTTGGTAGCTGGGCAGTGATCTCTTTCTATTTTTTTGTGCTAAATGGGGTGGTGGTTAGGCCTATTTATAGTGGAATTTAATGGCTTTCATGGTAAAATTAATGTTATACAGGGGATAAGATTGGTGAAAGGAATTAACAAAAAAATTGATAGACGTCAAATATGACAGCCAATTATCTTGAATTATTAAATCAATAAGTCATAATTCAAAGAACCTGTTTCATTGAGTTACTATTTTTTAATCAAAACATTAAAGGGCCTCTTGACTTCGGGCTCTACATTCTACAGTATCTGATCAAAATCTCTTTTGAGATTCTCGGCCACAAAATTTAGCACAGCTCCAAGCCTGCAACTGCATTCCCTTTAACATACATATGACCCTCTTCGGAATGAAGCTCCATCAATTTATTTGTGACTGGAACTTCGTTTAGTACTGATCATTATAAACACATTTTGGACGTTACTGAAAGGATTACCATGATTTGCAGAGATTATGTAGAAATTATAGTAAATTATTGTTTATTATTTTAATAGAGTGAAAATCACGCATATTGGTCAAAGGTTAAATAGTTAATGGCAGTAATTTTTGACCTTCTGAAATTAAATAACTTAAGTATTATTAATTTAAAGAAAATTATCCTCATTTTCATGGATTAATGCTTGCTTTCTGCACTATCAGTCAAATTCCATTTCTCTCTTGAATTCTTTAATTTCTTTGAAATCTTGAAATTTAAAGGTCACCCATAAGCAACTTTTGACTCCCATGTTCATCGACAGCTTCCACCATCTTGGGAAAATTCCAAATCAACTCAATAATTCACGTTAATTAATATAAGGAAGAAAGAGAATGATTAATATTAGACACAACAAAGTCAATCAGAAAACTTAATTGTAGCAATTCATTCTGAGATCTGACCTGAAGACAAGACAAATTCAGCAGCGCTGGTTGATGATTAACTATCAAATTCTCAGTAAATTTATACTTCAACTATAGTCAATGAAATATCTCCGCAAGGTTTAGAAATTGATGACCACTTCAACAATAAAGGGTTCATCTATAAGTAGCGATGCACACGGGAAACATAATTTATAATATAGTTTAGTTTAGGAAAATAAATCCTAATAGTTTAAAGTTTCTCTTCATAAACCTAGTATATAAACATGTTATTCTTTTGTATAAGTGATATAAAAAATCATAGTAGAAACATTCATTGTAATAATTAATTATAATGAGATAGGTGAGGTAATATTGAAATACTATAATTGGCTTTGTTGGATGTAACTTGGATTTGAATAAACCAGAATAATTTGCACGTGTTTCTTTCTTTTTACTAATTCGCTATTTGTATTATGTTTCTTTGATTTCAAACGCCCTCTAGTTCTCTCAATATAACCAACTAGAATATTAATGGATTTTCTTCTATTAACATATTATCATCAAATATTGGATAAGGTTAATTACATATAGTCATGTAAATGAAATGTCAACATGAGACGATCCACAGCAGCTGGTGTCAATTGCGAAAGCAAAATTGTCTTCAACCCTCCTCCACATACAAACTTTAATTAAGCTCTAGCAGGGCATATAAGTCCTCAATCACTATTTTGTTACCATATATGACTTCTTTGCTGAGTTCTCATGTCCAGATAATTAAGTTAAAAGCAACTATATATTGTATACCTAGGGGTGAGCATGGGTAAAGGGTAGGACTGGAACTAGCTCCATTAGGGTCCAGTTCCAGTTCTGGAAAATGGGAACCGGGAATTGTTAGGTCCGATTTTGGTTCCTACAATGCTAGAATCGGGAACCGGAATCGAAACCGAGGTCTGGGTACCTAGGTAGAAATCGTGATTAAATTATAATTTTTGTAAACTATTGGAAGTGTATTTATACTTTTTTGAAGGTGTATTTGTCATTTTTCAAAAAGTAAGGGGTAATTAAAACTTACCCAGATACCCGAAATCAGAACCGGGACCGAAACCTATGTTTCAGATTTCTAGGAACCAGAACCGATCAGTTTCAATTCCAATTCCTATTGTATACTATTTAATTAGATAAATTGTGCGCCAACAGAAGAATTTGAAAAGGTTATAATATGCTAGCTAAAGATGGTGCACATCTTCATCCTTAATTTTGATATCAGATTTATTAATAAAATGATGATCATGTGATTCAATTGATAAAGTAGGAGTAAGTATTATAGCAAAGCACGATTTAATAATATTATAATTGATCGTTCATTTAGAACACTCTGATGAAGAACAGTTGATCAGCAACAAACCTTGGACCTGATCATCAGTCCATGTTTCAACGGAGAAACGCTTTTATTNGCTGCTGAAAGAGTTGAATCTGGAAAGCATGAAACCTGTAAAGCTATTCTGTGATAACAAAGCTGCTCTACAAATTGCAGCCAATCCAATGTTTCATGAGAGAACAAAACACATTGAGATTGACTGCCACTTTGTAAGAGAAAGAATCCAAGATAAAACTTTAAGCACAGAATATGTTTGCAGTGAAGAACAAGTAGCATATATCTTGACCAAAGGATTAGGGAGACAACAGCATGAGAAATTAGTTGCTAAACTTGGAATGAAAGATATCTACAAGATGCCAACTTGAGGGGGAGTGTTGAAGGACAAGTTGGCCGGAATAAATGCATGGCAATTTAGTCAGCTCAAGACTTTGAAACGGCAGAGTTGGCGTAGTTAGTTAGAAGGTTGTTAGAGTTAGTTGGTTTAGTAAGTTAGTTACTTTCTGAATAATAGAAAGCAATGCATGTATGTATATATGAGCTATACAGATTCACGTGATCAATACATGAGAAAATATTTCTTCTCTTCAATTTGTTCAACGTCGTTTTCTCTCAAATCTCAACATATTCACATGTGAGATTAAACAGAAATTGGTAGGTTGAGTGTTTGAACATGCAAGAAACAAGATGAAAAACAGTTGAAGAGAAGAAGAATCGGGAAAAATTCTTATTAACAGATCTGATAAAACTTTACAAAGAGTAAAGCTTATTTTATACGATTTAGGAAGAAGACTAAAACTCCAAAACGGTGGAGTTTTGACTAACATAAACTTAATTAAAAACAAGACCAAAACGGTGGAGTTTTGGTTATCAAACAATTGACTAAGTCAAGTCAATTATAGGTTTAGCCTTTAGCCTTTTTGACTCACATTCCACCTCAAACCAAGCTCCATGAATTTTCTGAATAATGCTCGTACTGAAGCAAAACTATTTAGTGACATTCCCCCCTCAAACCCAGCTTCATAGAACGTTGAGGAAGACAATCAGACCAATCTGAACTTTTGCATGAGGAACCATGCTTATTGTCATTGAATGATAATCCCATCAAAAGCAACTGAACTTAAAGAACTGAATAAAGCAAATGCAATTGCAAATTGCATGTTGAACTGCTAAAGCACAAGAAATGTATAATTGTTCTGTAGCATGAAGTCCCTGAAACTGAAAGCTTCAGATGCAGAAGAAAGGAACATTTGCAAGAGTCAAACTGAACTAATCCAAAACTGAACTGCTGATCCAAAAACAGACTAAACAACTAATAAACTGAACAACTACTGATCCTAATCAAGCTGAACACCTGATCCAAAACTGAACTGCTGATCCAAAACAGACTAAACAACTGATCCAAAAACTGAACAACTGTTGATTCAAACCAAACTAAACACCTAATCCAAAACTGGACTGTCGATCCAAAAACAGATTGAACAACTGATTCAAAAATGAACTGCTGATCCAAACCAAACTAAACAACTGATCCAAATTGAACTGCTGATCCAAACCAACTAACAAGCAAAGAACTGGTAGTGAACCAGAGCAAAGCAACCACAAAAAGAAAACTTCAGTCTTAGACCACCTGAATTATACCAGTAGATGAGTAATATGAATCAAAGCAAAGCAAACAATCTTTCACTTCTGTCACAGTGTTAAGTACAGATTTTAGCAGCACTTACCACAGTTAATTTCTGGCGTAATTCACCAAATTGGGAAGCAGATAGGGCTTTTGTAAAAACATCAGCTATTTGAAGCTAGGAAGGTACATACTGAATTGCCACTTTATTAGCTAATACCTGCTCTCGGATGTAATGTGCATCTATCTCGATGTGTTTGGTGTGTGCATGAAAGACCGGATTAGAAGCTAATGCTGCTGCACTAATGTTATCGCACCATATCACAGGCTTAAGATTTATAGAAATTCATAGTTCAGTGAATAAACTCTGCAACCATGCTACCTCTGTGGCTGTTTGAGCCAATGCTCTATACTCAACTTCAGTGGAAGAAAGGGCTACAACTCGCTGCTTTCTTGAACTCCACTTAACTATATTGGGTCCCATGTATACACAGCAGCCACTAGTAGAGTGTCGATCCTCCAAATTACTTCCCCAATCCGCATCGGCATAACATTCCACATTGAGAGAGCGAGTGGGCTGAAAGTGTAAACATAATCTAGTGTTCCTTTGACATACCGAAGAATTCTCTTGCATGCTTGCCATTGAAGAGTTGTAGGAGCTGATAGGAACTGACTAAGCTTGTTAACGGGAAAGCTAAGATCAGGTCTTGTAAGTGTAAGGTATTGAAGTGCCCCTATAGTGCTTCGGTACAAACTCGGTTGCTCGAATAAGTCACTATCACCTGAGAATAACCGTGTACCAACGGCTATAGGAGTGAAGCAAGGATGAGCTTCATTCATGCGGGTTTTGAGTAATAGATCAGCTGCATATTTGGTTTGTTTCAGGTAGATACCACTGCAGTTTCGTGTAGCTTCTAGGCCAAGAAAATAGTGCAATAAACCAAGAGTTTTGAGTGAGAACTGATCATTTAAATCCTTCATAAGTTGAGTAATGTAATTTGAGCTGGATCCTGTCAAAAGAATGTCGTCTACATAGACTAACACATAGATTAGTAAAGAATTTTGCTTAAAAATGAATAGGCTTGAATCAGAGACATAATTAACAAAACCCTTGCTGAGGAGGGTAGCCTTTAACTGATCAAACCAAGCCCTTGGAGCTTGTTTAAGCCCATAAAGAGCTTTATTCAACTTGCACACATATGTAGGATTGTAAGGATCCTCAAAACCAGGAGGTTCTTTCATGTATACCTCTTCATTTAAAGTACCATTTAAAAATGCGTTGTTGAATCAATTTGCTGAACATCCCAGCCATGTGTAACAACTAAGGTGAGAATGATTTTGATAGTGGATGGTTTAACAACTGGACTAAAAGTTTCAAAGTAGTCAAGTCCAGGGGTTTGTTGAAAACCCTTTGCAACCAACCTAGCTTTGTATTTTTGCAAAGAACCATCTGCATTATACTTGGTTCTAAATACCCATTTGTTCCCTACTACATTCACATTGGAGGAAAGAGGATCCAGTGTCCAGGTCTGATTTTTTAGCAGAGCAGTAAATTCAGATTGCATTGCCTCTTTCCACTTAGGATTAGCCAAAGCTTCAACAACAGAATTGGGTTTTGGCTCAATAACATGCTGTTCCGATAGAAAAATAGTAGAGGGATTTGCTACAGCATTAGCAGAGGAAGACATGGCTACTGCTTTTGCTCGGGTTAACATAGGGTTGAAGGTTAAGGGAATTCAACTGTGTAGGATGTGTGGAAGGTGGTTGTGTAGAGTGTATGGGTTGAAGAGTATTAGAGAACTATGATAGTGTAAGATCAACTTCAAGTGGAATGGATGGCAGGTTAGTATCAGGTGGTCTAACAGGAAGAGATGATATCTTAGTTGAATAGTGATCAGGTGAGTATTGTGAAGAAGAAGCAGGTTGTGGAATATGAGTATGTGAGGAATAATGTTCACTATTTAATGAAGTACTACGAGAATCATGGGGTGCAACAAGTATTGAGGGAGAAATATGCAATTGTGAGTTTGAAATAAAAGAGGAAGAAGTACCTAGTGCTGAAGTGCCATTTTCAGACAGTTTTGATGAGCTTGTTACTGCAGAGGGAAGAGAGGCCTGTTCTGTTGAAGAAGGAGGACTTTGTGTAGTGATGACAGGAAATGGAAGAGATTGAATTTGACAAGAGGAAGTATTTGATTCAGATGACAGCTCAGGAGAGGAAGAAGAAGAAACATGACCATGAGAAAAAGGAAATTCTGACTCATTAAACTTGACAGATGGGGTGACAACAATTTTTCCATTTGGTTTCAAACATTTATATCCCTTATGAACTAGACTATAGCCAACAAACACACACTTGGTAGAATGAAAGTCAAATTTATGCTTATTAAAAGGTCTAAGAAATGGAAAGCAAGAACATCCAAAAACTTTCAATGACTCATAAACAGGTGGGGATTGAAATAATCTTTGATAAGGAGACAAGTAAGCCAAAGTAGTTGTGGGCATCTTATTTATGAGAAATACTCCAGTTTCGAATGCTAACCACCAAAACTATAAAGGCACGAATGCATGAGCAAGAAGGGTTAGACTAGTTTCAACAATATGTCTGTGCTTGCGCTCACATGTACCATTTTGTTGATGTATATGTGAGCAAGAATGTCTAAATCTAATTCCTAAATCAGTGAGATAAGAATGCAGTGTAATGTATTCTCCTCCTTGGTCTGACTGGAGACACTTGACTTTGTGACCAAATTGCCTTTCAGCAAGTTTATGAAATTTAATAAAGACCTATTTAACTTCTGCTTTAGTTCTAAGAGGAAAGAGCCAAGTATATTGACTATAGTCATCCAAAAATTGTACATAATATCGAAAACCTTCTGATGAAGGTAACGGGACAGGACCCCAAATATCACTATGTATAAGTTCTAAGGGTGCAGTAGCTTGAGATGTGGATGGAGGAAAACTAGTGAGATGTAATTTGCCAAGTTGGCATGCATCACAAAATGCAAGTGAATGAGTGGATGATGACTTGCTCTTAGAGACAGTATTCGTAGACAAACCAGCAACAATTTTTTGTAAAATAAGAGAATGAGGATGTCCTAAGCGTTTATGCCATATCATGTGATCAACATCAATTGTATCAACATTAAAACAAAAAATATCAGAATTTGTATCAGGCAGAAACTGATCAGAGGAACAAGTTTTATTATTATTGATAGAAAGATCTTTACACATAGTAGCATTGTCAACCATAGACTATGCAGAGTTACAACTCATGCTTTTATTTTTCAGAGTACTAGCAGCTGACATATTAGGATAAGAACTAGACATATTTCCACAAGAACTAGAATTATTATTACAGATACAAGACATAGGTAGACAGGGTTTAGACACACCAAGATGACTGGAAGAAGATGACGATGAATGAGCAGAGTTGGAGTGTGGAATATTCAACTGATAAAGGCCTCCTCTAAGCTCCCCTTGCAGTAATGTTGCTCTGGTCAACCTGTCCTTAACAAGGCAACAATCAGTATTGAACTCAACAATAACATCATTATCAGTAGTAAATTTAGAGATGCTCAAAAGATTTTTGGTAATTGCAGGTACACACAAGATACTTTTGAGATAAAGGTTCTTGTATTGAAAAAGACTAGGTAAAGAGATATGGCCCGTGTGTAAAATAAGAAGAGATGCACCATTATCTACTTGAAGCTGACTAGATAAAGGCTCTTATTATTTTTTAATTTTCATCTTCTGAAAGTTCTTATTAAATTGGCATACAATTTCATCCTGAATATTTTTTAAAGTATACAAATCTTATAATATAATATATTATATATATTTTTTAAATTGTAAAAAGAATTTTTTGGGGTTTTTTATTATTATTCTTCTTCTCTTTTGTAAGATATAGTACTTTTCTTTACAAAGAAGTTTAGATTGACCCTATTCTCCATAACTGCAGGTAAAGAAGAAAAGAAGATGATCGAGGTGAAACAAATTGATAGGAAAAACAATAATTTTGCATACAGCTTCTGTGATCATGGTAATTTCTTCCTAATCTCACAACGTTATTAGTCTAATAACATTATCGACACACTAGAAATTAACTTATAAATCAACTAATATAAGGTAAAAAAATATAAATTTACTATCGGTCTAATAATATGATCGATCTGTAACAACGCAATATGTATATGTTTATAATTAAATATCTTTGTGAAATTTCAGTGAAAATGGGGACGAAGTTTTCAGAGACAGTGAAGGGGAAGTTGAGTTTGGGGGCAAGAATTATTCAACAAGGAGGGAGGGAAAATATTTTCAAGCAAGTGTTTGGATTGGGAGAAAACGAAGAATTATTGAAGGCTTCACAATGTTATTTATCAACAACTTCTGGTCCTATTGCTGGATTGTTATTTATTTCTACTGAGAAAGTTGCATTTTGCAGTGAAAGATCCATTACTTTCTCTTCCTCTGATGGCCAATTAATTAATTCTCCGTACAAGGTAATTTCATTTCTAATCAAGATTTAATTCAATATTAGATAGGATTCTTAGGTTCGGATGTTTGCCTTTTGTTACATCACGACCAAGTTAGTTGGTACTTAGAAACTGTGAAATTTTGTCTTTTAATAGTTAAATGGTTCACATGATAGTTCATAATAGTTTATATCAAGATCGTTCAAACTTCTCTGAACTTTTTTGGTTTTTTGATAATACAATTGTGTTGATCTATATAGTGAAATGTAACATGTTTTTACATCTTTTAATTCCTATAACAAAGATAAAGAATGTTCGTTAAACAAAACATTATAGTTTTTATAACAATCTGAAAAGTATTACAGAATCAAATGTACTCAAAGATTGTAAAATTTTGTTTTCTAACAATTAGAGAATGCTAACTGACGTGGTTCGAGCGACGGTTCATTATAATCTATATCAGGGTCATTCAGAGTTTGTCAAAAAAGTTTTCTTTTTAGATAATGCAGTTGTGTTGATCTATATGAAATGTTTTTTACAGGTTATGATACCCATAAGGAAGATAAAGAATGTTCATGAAAGTGAGAACTTGAACAAGCCAGAGAAGAAATACATAGAAATTGTGACAGTGGATGACTTTGAGTTTTGGTTTATGGGTTTCTTGCGCTATGAAAAAGCTTTCCGAAATCTTCAGAAGGCCATTGCCAAGGCCAATCAAATGTAATTATTTTATATTTTCCAGTCCAAATTAGCTTTCAGATTACCCAATTTTTTAGATTTTGTACAACAATTAAAACTATAGTGCTTACTTTGTGTTACAAATGTATCTAGAAAGTCTTTAAGCAAAATGGGTTATGGATAAATTTATTTCATATTTTTTTTGTGTTAAATGTCTTATTATTAACTTAAACACATGTTAACAACACATTTAAATTAAAGCTTGTGTTTTATATCAAACTTCATGCATTTGCAGAACATAATTAATGGTGTTTTATTCGTTTCTATTGCTAATTTGATTATAATAAAACTTTATGCATTCTCAAGTCATAATTAACAGAGTTTAATTTATTCATTTTTAGTGTAAGGTAAATTAAACTCAAGAAACAAAGTTCAATGAGCAAGAAGGAATTTCCCAGGTGCATTACTGAAAAAACTTTTATTGAAAGGATCTTCAACTTCAAGCCTCCTTGAACATGACTTTGAATGGAACATCACTCAAAGCCAGGCGGCGTATCCTGCCATCAATATAAATGCCGATGTCTCTGCATAGAACTTTGCAGAAATCACACACTGAAGGGCAGAACACAAGCTTGTAGTCGTTATCATACTTCTCAATCTTAAACCAGTTGCTCGTTGTTTTGCGACCAGGATTTCCTTCGATTCCGCCAGATGTCACGAACCACTGTCCCAATGAGTCATCATGGCTGTCAAGCTTCCACACAGTGGATTGGACACAGATTGTTGCGGCGGAGAACTTGACGTTCATATCAGTGGATACACGGACAACACCTTTTGTGAGGTTCACAGGTGAAAATGTTAGTGGCAGGCCATCTTTTACCTCAAGTTGCTCCTGAACGACGTCAAGAGGACAGGTTTCATTCCCGGTGCTGGCAAGAGTAAGACCACCACCTCTCCCACGGACAACTGGCAAGATGTAATATTGGGTGCCTGTGCGGAGCTTCTGGCCAGCGATGTCAAGCACTGGATCAGGTGTAGCACCGGCTGCCACAGGCAATGACCTTGTCACAAAGGCAAAGATAAGGAAAGAGCTGAGTACTCCCAATGTAGATTTCATTGTTATCGCTGCTGCTTTTATGTGAAAATGAATTAGAAGAGCTCGTATTTATAGAGCTCGTGACAAGATGATCTCTATTAAAACGTTGAGGAGTTGTGGAAGACAGGTAAAGCTGGCTTGAATTGACTAACCTGCCAAGCCATCAGTTCAGATAAGCAAGGATTTTCTCATGCACTGAATTGATCCAATGCTAATCAAGCTATGGATATATAAAATATCAAGTATTCTCTAAAGGAAAATGCAAAAAATGCATTTAACACATTATATTCATTTTCTAAAAATATATGTATAAGCAATCTGTTTGAGCTAATCTGACATATTCCTAAGTGAAATTGCAGCCTTAGTTGGAAGATCTACCATCATAATTTAATATCATAAGTTTTAAACTAAAATCCTAACTTAATTATGAAGTCAACGATTTAACATAGAATAGAAAGTCAAAACACCCTTATCATTCAGCAATACTCATTTCCTAATCTAGATGCAGAATTGAAAATGTCTTGGTCAATATTTTCGCCATTTAGTTCACATGGCATGGTTGACAGCAATATGATGATGTCAGAATTTGGTTGAGTTAACAAAGGATCTGTATAAATTTATTCATTCTTTACAATATCTTCAGTTCAAGTCCCAAAGGCATTCAATTGCAATGCCTCTCACAACTTCAAGAAATTTCTTTTCCTTTTTGTTTGCCAGTTATATGTGTTGTCATACACTGGTTAATTTTGTGATCACCTTATCTAAAACATATATGAAAAGGAATGGAAAACTAACTAGACTTTTGATTATTGATTAGGATTATAGGCAACATCTTTGGTTTCATGCACATTAAAAATTTCTTGAAATGATCTTTTTTTGCCGGCCTAGTTTGAAAACTGCAGGCATCAGGAATGCTTATTCCGTATAAGGTGAATACACTTAGATGGTCAAATCAGCCAGCTAGAAGTTTTGTTACTGACCACAAAGGGCATAATGAATAATAAGACTTGGTTAGGTATGCAATAACTCAAAGGAGTTAAAGCCAGAGGAACACACTACAAGATGTGCATTGTAGTAGCTGGAGTTACGGTCGTGCCAGAAGTTAATATAGCTTATCAGATCGTGTGCAACCATTACAACCATCAAATAATAAAACAAAAAGATACGTATACCTGCTTGTGTTATAAGTCCTAATAACAAGCTTGCCATATGCTTCAAACCTGGTAACTCTATGCCGTGTTTCTGCATGAAGAATTAAATATCAGGGATAAAGCATTTCCAAATTGGCTGCTTTTTATTCACTAAATTAAGTGCAAAGGAGATTTACCTCGAGATAAATCATGTCAAAAGGAACTATTTATCTTTGCAATGAGTTTTACGGACCGCTTGAAGAAACCTGAACAAACTATATTATAAATTAATGGAGGCTGTAGTCTTGTTCCCTTGCTTGAAAACCTGAAACGGTATTAATACCGTTGCCAATCAAACAATCAAAGCCATACTATTCAGCTACCATTACCCCAGACAAAAGTTAACCCTTTAATAATGAGCACATTCTGTATCATAGTTCATAATTTTGAGTTGATTACATAGTTTTAGATTGATCTCAATAAACAGAGGTACAGAATACCAAAAATAAAAACACAGTTTTTAGAAACCAACTACCCTTACATATAAACACAATCACTTAAATATATGGCAAATATAATGCTGTATAAAATAAGAAAAAGTACATAAATTTCACTTAATACGTGCACATGTAGGAGCTTTTTGGCACCAATAACTGACTGAACTCTGAAGTGCTAATTTGAATAATATAAAAGGAATGACAAGAACAAACTGTTTGGTGTGTTTATTATCATAATAAGAAAGATGGTGATAAATGAAGAGTAACCCTTCCTCATTTCAAAACAGAAAATTTCCTACCTTAGGTTCTCGATGGCCATAATATCTTCCAAAAATGATTCACCCTCAACATAATTGTCCACTTTCATTCCAAAACGAAAAATTGGCCATCCAACTTTGTTTGCTCATTGATCCCTTATAGAACCAAGAAAATTTCTGTTCCAGCGTTGTGCATCACATAGTCAGCCTCGAATTCGTGAGTAAAACCATTCACCTCAACCCAACTACACCCAGATTTTTTCATTACTTTTTGATTTCGCATAAACGTCCTCATCTTTAATGCATCTTCCTGCCTATTTGCAGCAAAATAAATATTCCATAATAGTATATAAACCCCATCATCATCTGGTTCTAATTCAATTAACATTTTTGCAGCCATTTCAGCTAAATTCAAGTTCCCATGGACCAAACAAGCCCTAAGTAATGATCTCCAAATAACAGCATCTGGGTTGATTGGCATCTGTTCAATAAAATCTTTAGCTTCTTCTAAAAGCCCAGCTCGGCCAAGAAGATCCACCATGCAACCATAATGCTCAATCTTGGGTTGCAAACCATAGAATTTGTTCATCCTATTGAACAATCTCTGACCCTCAACAAGTAACCCTGCATGACTACAAGCTGATAGAACTGACAAGAATGTAACCTCATTCGGTTTGATCTTCAATTCTATCATGTCACCAAAAACCTCTAGAGCATTCTTTCCTTTACCATGAAATGCATATCCTGATATCAAAGTAGTCCATGAAAACACATCCTTCTCCCGTATCTCACTAATAACCTTCAATGCCATATCAAGACATCCACTCTTTGCATACATATCCATCAAAGCATTATTCACAGTAACACCAAAACCAAGATTACTTTTACTAACATAACCATGAATGCATTTACCAAGATCAAGAGCTCCAATGTCAGCACAACCCGACAATACAGCCACAATAGTAATCACCGTACAACACTCTCCTCCTGCTTTCATTTCCCTAAAAAGTTCCAATGCCTCAACTATTTCCCTCCCTCGAACATAAGCCGTTATCATTGCATTCCAAGAAACCGAATTTCTCTGAGGCATTTCATCGAACACCAGGCGAGAAGATTCCAAATCATTGACCATTGCAAACCCATTAAGCAAACTATTCCATGAAGCAATATCTTTACATTCCATACATTTAAAAACTTTCTCAGTCGATTCAATATCTTTATTCTTGCTATACATATCAATCAACGCATTACCCACAATTGGGTCAAACGCTAATGAAAACCGGACAATTATCCCATGAACTATCCTAGCACAAGCCAAATCTTTTATACATTTACAAGCTGATAAAGCAGCAACAACAGAGTAGCTATCAGGTTCTATATTTCTACAAATTAAACGAGAAAATACCCACAAAGCTTTTCTGGGTTCTCGAACTTGCACGTGAAGATTAATGAGACATGTCCATGAAACTATATCTGGGTTTTGAATTTGACTAAAGAGTGTGTTGGGTTCCTGTGAGGTTCCCAATTTGGCGTACGAGTTAAGTAATTTGCACGCAAAAGGTTGGTGATGGTGGAGAATTCCAAGTGTTACTGCTTGAGCGTGGATTTGTTTCAGGAATTCAAGAGTATTACATTGGCGTAATAGAATTTGTAAGCGTTTGTAGTTCATAACTTGGGCTAATAGAATTTGTTTGAAACATTCATAGAGAATTTAGATGACGATACCTCATTGTTTAAGCAACGTCTAGTAATTAAACTCTATTACAGAATCCAACTCAACACCCTTCGAGATTTTGACAAGAGTTGCTTGATGGAGAACATGGTGCGATAAAAGTTGAAACCTGAGTTCGATTTGGAGAAGAGTTGCTTTTCAATGAACACTATGTATGAGAATACTGAGGGTAGAAATACATGGCAATCCAACATGTGATAAACGAGGCAAATGCAATTGCTCAATGTTATTTCAAGCTTGAATAATCCTTGAAAAAGAGTTTTGAATTTATCGCTTGAAGACGTTGAGATTCTTCCATCATCTTCCAAAGTCAGCTTTCCTTCTCTAAATTCAACTTCTGGGCTTTGCCTTGTTGGGCTTTACTTAATTGAGTTCATCCTCTTTATAAGTTCACCCATATTTTTTCCTAATTGGGCTAGCCTCAAACTCATATTTCAAATCCAATTTCCGGCAAATTTCTAGGTCCAAGTGATACGGCTTCTTCAAGTATAGCTTAAATAAAGGAAGTTTATAGAAGACGAGCTTTTAGAGTAGTGTTTTTATGAAAATTTTGTTAGTTGTTTGGCTAAGAAAAAGTAAAAGAGCTTTCTGAAATAAATTTATGAAAAGGGGTTTTAATATACATAGATCAAGAGAAATTTAAAAGATTGAACAGGGTTATTTTTGAAATTTCAACATTTTTGATAAGCTCAAAAACAGTCTTATGTTTAAGCTTCTCCCATAAGCTGTAAACTAGCTTTTTTATAACATTATAAGCACTTTTGAAAGGCAACCAAATAACCTAAAGAAAATTTGAAAGTGGTTAAAGAATAAAAATAAATAAATAAAGCTATTTTGTCTAGTAAAGAAGCCCAACCAAACAGGCTCTGAGCATAGGTGAAACAAACAAATTTTTATTGGTCAAATTTCTTTTCTCTATATTTCCTTTTTGGCATGTGTAGAGAGTCAAGTTTAATAGAAAATTAGGTGGATTTTAGATAACTGTATGAACTCTTAACAAATTTCTGGTCAGCGGACAGTGAATATGTCTTATTATTGAAGGTAATCCCCACTGTATCATCTATCAGAAAGTGTTGTCTCTATTTATTTATTTTTTAATTTTGTTAAAAATGCTCTTATATAGTTAAGATTCATCTAATAAATTTTTCTTCTTCTTAATATTTTTTGTATTTTATTTGAGAAAAAAATTAAAACCCTACTCAACATAGTTTTATGTTTACCCCTCTTGGAACAAGTATACATAAATTTGTGACTTAGAAAATTTCTTGATCCAACAATTGAATATATATATATAAGAACATCTCTACATGATAGTGAGACCAAACTAATTTTATTAGTATGAAAAGGTTATAAACAATGTTTTAAAACTCGATCCAACCTGGTCAGTTTAACTGGTTCGACCAGGAACCAGCTATTAAGCTGGGTCAAATCAAATTAATTTTATTACTATGAAGAGATTATAATCAGTGTTTTAAAACCTGCTCTAGTCTGATCAGTTTAACTTGGTGTGATCAGAAACCAACTATTTAGCTGGGTCGAGCCAACATAAAAACTGGTGATATAAATTCACTCGGTATGAGCGGTGGTTAGACTGGGATTATTGTAGCTAATTGTCAGTCTAACTGGTTTTGGCACAAAACTGGGTCAACTCAAATTACTACATTCTAGCATCTAAAATCCCTTTTATGAGTTTCAATTAAAGACATTAGGTTAATCAAGGAAAAAATAAGACTAATTAACAAATGAGAGGAGTTGAAACCCTAAGCCGTTGTTGCTGTGGTGGAGAATGGTGGAGGCGCATATAATAGTGGCGACACACAACTAATGAGGGAGAAGAAAATGAGAATTTTTTCAAACGAGAAGAGTGAATGTGTTTGTGTGTTTTGGCGTACAAGGCGTGCACCTTTTGATTAGAAGAAAGTTGAAGAGTCGGAAGTAGGGCTGTTAAAAAAAATATCCGATATCTGATCCTTATCCGCTTCGCTCCGATCGGATATCCGAAAATTCATATCGTAATTTAAAAAATCCGAATATTCGGATTGGGATTGTTAAAAAAGCGGATATTCGTATCCGATCTGGATTGTACTAAAACTATGTCGTTTTGATTTTTAAAATAACCTTAACACAATTTTAATTTAACTCAAACTCAACTCTCTCACTCTCAGTCTCTCTCGTTCGAACACGCACAGACATAGTCACTCAAACTCAACTCTCTCAGACTCAGATCTCAGTCTCTCTCGCTCAACTCTCTCAGTCCCTCTCGCTCGAACACTCATAGACACAGTCACTCAAACTCAACTCTTTTAGATCTCTGTCTCTCTCGTTCAACTCTCTCAATCTCTCTCGCCCGAACACTCACAGACACAGTCACTCAAACTCAACTCTCTCAAATCTCAGTCTCTCTCGCTCGACACTCGACATACACTCAAACTCAACTCTCGCTCAACTCTCTCAGTCTCTCTCGCTTGACACTTGACAGACGAGTCAGAAACTCATGACTCAACCTCAGCCTTGCCATCTTCATTCTTCAGTCTTCACTTACAGTCACCAACGCACCATCGCCATCTCTGTCACTCACTCCTTCCACCATCAAAGCCAAGATCGTCAACAACCCCAAATCGTCAGTTCCTCTCCTAAATCCCTAATTGAAGCCCCAAATAGATCGTAAGTAAATTTCTTTAGATTTGCTGAATTTTCTTTTTCCCTTTCGAAATTGTAGAATATTGATTTTTTATTATTTAATTAGTTTTACCAAGAATAGGATTCTTTTTCTCACATACAATTTAATTATATATGTTGAATAAAAAATGTTGTTTTGTTAATGTTGTTGATTGCCTTCTGGTTATTTGATGTTGTATTATGTAATGTGTTGATTGTTGAAGTGGGAAAATCCAGCCAATTAGTGGGGCTGGTTTGTTTGATTGGAAAAATAGAAGTGTTTTAATTTATGAGTATGACTTTTTTGGTTATATACTTGCTGTTTTGGATCCATTAACATTGGTTGGACATTTTAGAGGTTGCTAACTTAATGTGGGTAATAGGTTTTTTCCCCAAATACAATTTAATTATATATGTTGGATAATGAATGTTGCTATGTTAATGTTATTGATGTTTGGTTCGTCACCATTTTATTTGATGTTGTATGGTGTAATGAGTTGATTGTTGAAGTGGAAAAATCCAACCAATTGGTGGAGGTGGTTTGTTTGATTAGAAAAATAGAAGTGTTTTCCTTTATGAGTATGAATTTGTTGCTGTACACTTGTAGTTTTGGATTCATTAATATTAGTTGGGCATTTTGGAGGTTGCTAACATAATGTTATCTTTATATATTAATAGGTTGAATTAAATTTTAGAGATGAATGATAAAAGAAGCATAAATTCTAGACTTATTGTTTGTAAACTGCAGGTTGGAAGCATAAAGAATTGAAAAGCTATAACAAGAGACAGGTCGGTTTATTTATCATTTATTTGTTCATATCATTCTTTTATGCTCTGAATCTGTTAACTAATCTTAATTATTGATGAAATTACGCTGAAGGCCCCAAGGCTGATGATGATGAGGAGTTTGAGAAGTCAATGTCAGAGGTGAACAACGAGGATGATGATGAGGAGGGCAGTGGCAAGGTATAATTTATATGCAATTAATTTTGTTGTTAATCTTAAAAGTTGATTATTGAAATGGTTTATTTGTTTTGTTTTGTTTTGTACAGGAGGATGACGACGAGTAGGAATTGACAATGAAGATAGCATAGTCATTTAAGCTGTGACAGTGTTTGGACAACATATGTTAAATGTTTTGTGCTTCATGTTAATTTTTTTAGATACTTTTATCATGTAAGAGAATTATAATTTCAATTTTATTGCAAGAATTATTTGATTTTAATAAGAAAATTTTAAAATTCGGATCAATTTTGGATATCCAATTATCTGATCTGAATAATCAGATATCCGTAAAACCAAATATCCACATAATTCAGATCGGATTCGGATCAGGATATAGCTTGATCTAAAAATTCAGATCAGATCAGAAAAAACCCTATTCGGATCGAATATCCAGATTTGAATAGCCCTAGTCGGAAGAGCTTTATAAATTAAAAAAGTAGAAATGACTGAGTGAAGAACAACGAAGACGGATGGAGAAAGAAGCTGTCGAAGCCTTCTCTCTCTACTATTCTTCGCTCCTGCAATTTCAACGTGGAAGAGATTAAAAATAGAAAAATGCTATCCTTACAAAGACAATACAAAGAGAGCTACAAAGTGACATCACTAGGAAGGAAAAAACAAAAAAAAAACGGAAAAAGAGGGGGAGAGAGAGAGAGAGAGAGAGAGAGAAATCATGAAGATGAAGGATGAAAATTGTCTTTGTATGATCTATTTGTTTTTGTCTTTGTAAGAGTAGTATTGCTCTTAAAAATAAATTGCATTCAATGAACTTTCACAGAAAAAGACAATAGAGTTTGAATTATCAATTGTCATTCAGAGGTTAATAAATGTCATCAATATTACATTGAAGTACCATATTGATCAAACCACTAGCCAATGTCTGTAGTTTGATCAATTGATCGATAATATTATTGAATTGAATTCTCTTTTGGCTTTTGGAGAGTGAAAATATTGAGAGTTTGGGTTGGAATCATGTATGGATAAATCTTCGGTTATGCTACTATTACAAAGCAGTGAAAGAGATAATGGAGCTATTTTGAAAGCATCTTGAAATAGTAGGTTTAAAATGAAATTGATACATGTCAGAGGAGTGACCTAGAGAATGATCGGTAATTCGGTATATTAGGTTGATGACGTCATCATCGGGTGAGAGTGATGATGTCAGGGATCATCCATGTGACGGAAAAGGTGGCGGTTTTAATTGAAATGTTTTAATTTTACTGGGTCCTACGGAACCACTGAAGAAATGGAGGTGATTTACTGCTGCAAATAAAACAAATTTTTGTAACGGGTCTCTAGAATCTTTCCTCTTAAAATTTGTATTAAAAAAAAATAAATTTTTTTTCTATCATTATATATAAAATATATATTGTAATAAGACATAACTTCAAACTTGTATTATACGAGGTAAAATGTTTAATGAGTAATTGTGAAACATATTATTATATAATTATAGAAATTTTATTAGTTGAACATAAAATATATTCCGACCACCCACAGCTAAGAATCTTGGCGTTCCCCACCCCTCCGCGCGAAGGGCACATATTCTATGTAAAGTAAAGCTAAAATATAGGAAAAGAAGGTAAAATATAAATTTAACCTATCTGAGAGTAAAGATGCATGA